AAAGCCACCCTGAAAGCTCGCCTGGAATCGCATGCCTCGGCATGGGGCAAATTTCAGGGGAAAAAAGGTTTCTCTTGCTGGCGGCGTGGGTCCGACGGGGCAGCGCCTGCGCGATCACGATGAAGTAGGGCGCGCTCTTGCGCGGCGCTGGGAACGAGTTCAGGAAGGTTTCCCTGGGGCCGCCCACGTTCGTGAGCTCCTGCGGCCATGTGTTTAGCAGTGCCCTCCGGGTATTTCTTGGGCTCCAGACCTCCCTGATGTTCGTGACATCGTCGCCGACCTTCGCGATGGCGCCTGGGCCTGACGGGATCCCCTACCCATGCTGGGCCCAGGGCGGGCCGCAGGTCGCTGGCCTCATTTACCGCGTTTATCAGTCGATTCTGGGCGGGCAACTTCCTGGGGGCGATGCCAACCATGGGATGGCCGTCTTTCTGGCCAAAGGCGAACAGGCCTCGGGCGCTTTGGGTGCGGGAATTCCTAGAGCAGCCGAACGCACTAGGCCCATCACTCTCAGCGACACCTGTAACGAGATAGTCTCGACGGCGATCAACGTGCCAATGGGTCTGATGCGTGAGCAAACTTGCTTCGACGTCCAGAAAGGGTTCATTGAAGGCCGTAGCATGACAAACAATCTAGACATCGAGGCAACATCTATCCATTGGTAATGCCAGCATCTGTGCAGGGATTCAGGTTTCGCAGCCCTCGACCGGAAAACCGCCTTCCCCGGCCTCCTCCACAGCATGATCTCTTGGATCCTCCTCGCCGTGGATGTGCCTGTTCACGTTCGCCTGGTTGTCGCCGCGCTGTGCCAGCACGTGCGGAGTGGCATCTTATTCTGCGGTTTCAGAGGCCACTGGTATTGGCAGGAGCGGGGGATCAAGCAGGGGCGCCTGGATCGATTCGCCCTGGCCATGGACCCGGTCCACAGGATGATGCGCTGTAGAATCACCCCCCCCACCTCGGCCTCCCGTGGGCCTTCGCCGACGACGTCGGCCTCGTTCGGGCCTTCGCCGACGACGTCGGGCTTGCCCTAGAGGCATGGTTCGTGGCTGCAGGTGCCGCAGGTCTCTTGCTACATTTGAAGAAGACGGTCGTCGCCGTCTTCAGCGGGCCCGCGGCCGAAGAGTTGAAGCGTCGTCTCCGAGGGGCGGGGGTCCGCTCCGACAGTTCCCCCCTCGCCACTGCTGCCGGGCATCTTGGGATTATTCTTGGGTGGGGGGCGCGACCGCTGAGCTGGGGGGGGGGCTGTTCGGAAAATGGAGAGGGGGGCCATGTGTTTCAAAAGTCTCTTCTTGGGACTGGTCGAAAGTAATGCTAGGTTCAATGTCCACGGGTTCTCTTGCCTCGCGTTCGTTGGGCAGTTCTTCCTGCCCGCGAAGATCGCCATTGACGGGCTGCGGGAGGCTGGTCAGGCCCTGGCGAACGCGCCCAGAAATGCAGTGCCGACCTCAATGATGCAGGGCCTCACCTCGGTTGGTGCCAGTGTCCAGATTCGTGTGATCGTGAGTGCATGTGCGATGCTGCAATGTCCAGGCTCGATCATTACTCGTCGTCGTTCTTCGGGCACCGCTGCGCGTTGGGCGAATTCGGGTTGTCTGACGATTGTGTCCACCTCTGGAGGCGACACCCCCTAGTGCGGTCCTCCTCCATCATGGCCCTCATCCAAAATTACGACCGGACCACGGCGTTCCCCAGGCTTTTACCCTTTCTCCCCACCGCTCCAGAGGAAAATCGAATGGCTACTGAGCTCTGAGAGGCCGCCTGCCGCGAGCTGCACGATTTGTAAACGAATCAGGTATTTCGCCCATCTACCCCCGACTGCCCGTCATATAGAAGCGTGTATGGTATACCTTAAGAGGCTAGGTCAGATCGCCTCCCAGTTTGTAGTTATCGCTTTGCTTAGGGTCTTATGCAACAGTTGGTGCACCACTCGTAGGTTTCCTGAGCTCATTCAGCATTGTAAGTGGTGCAAATTCGCGGTCGGCGGAGACGATATCCTACATTACTTGTGCTGCCCTGTCCTGGAAGGGGTTTCTGGAATGCTCCCCCAGCTCCCCCAGGTTTTCCCGAACGCCACGGCGGTGCATCGGATCTTCGTCTTTCCCATCGGCTCTCTTTCTTCGTCTGCGTTGCTTTATGTCGGCCTCCTCCACGATCTCGCTTGCTCTCTGCACTGTGCTAGCAGAGAGCGGCGGCGCACGACTGCCGAGCTCCGAGCGCTTCCACGGGCACGGCTGCGCTGGGTCGCGCAGCGAGCAGGCCCGTCCGTGGCCTCCTCTGCTGCGGCCAGCCGCTGCTGCTGCCACCGCTGCCCCGCTGCCGCTGCCCCGAATCCTGACACCCTTTGAGGCCGCTCGCTCCTCCCTCCTCACCCTCACCCTCCTCCATCTCCTCCTCCTCCTCCTCCTCCTCCTCCTCCTCCTCCTCCTTCTCCTCCTCCTCCATCTCCTCCTTCACCTCCTCCTCCTCCTCCTCGTCGGGTCGCCTACGGTCCCCAGGGAAACCGTGCACCCGCGGGTTCCCCTTAGGACATCCTCGGATGAGAGTTTTTCCGCGGTCCTATGCGCACGGGGGCATCCCCAGATCCCCAGAGAAGCCCGATTTTTCCCGGTCCAGTTCTGTCCAGGTTCTGGCGTCGATATTCTTGTGCATCTTGGGGGAGGTTATCATCGAATATTCTTAGTTTCGCCGACGGAGGGCACTGTCCTGGGTCCTCCTTCCTGGGTCTGGCCGTACTCGTGGTCTCCCCGCGACGCTGCGGGCCTTTTCGTGATGGGCTCCCCTTGGGCTCCCCTCCCCCTTCCCGCGGCCAGAAATATAATCCAGGGTTCGAGCTAAACGGTGTTTTGGCGATTTCGTGGACCGTTTTCGTTTTCATGTCGTTTCGCAGCAAAGGCAAAACGAATACACACAAAAGACAACGAAGCAATACGAAAACGAAAAGCACTGTTCAGCTCGAGCCCGAGTCAATGGAAGAAACGACAGTGCGAAACACGCATCCCCAGCAAACGCGAATGCGGCCTGACGTTGCGTCGTGTTGGCAAAGCACATTCGGCACCAGAGTGCGGCTGGTCCCGTTGCCATGCCGTATCGGCGCGCTCCTTCGCCAAATCGGGCGGCATTCGCAACCTGTTTCGGGCATTACATTCCCCGATCCGTGGATCCGGAGATTTTTTTATTATCCCTTGCCTCGTAACGGTCGCTACCCGGGACAAGCTTTCTGGGTAACGGCAGCGATCGTACGTTTTGGGGGGGTCCGTGACACCCACCACATGCTGGTGCCCGAATTCATGTTGTTGTGCCCAACTGTGGCGATCGCAGCGCACCCCAGCCTCGATGTGCCCCAGCCCGCCAGAGCATTCCCGTTACCCAGGGCACCCATCCCACCCCCCTCTCCCATCGGGGATAACGACCGTTGCGTGGAACTATCGGCAAAGAAACTCCTGGCACTCACGCGCCAGATCCACATAGCCGTAGTCTCGGGCGTTGCTAGGGGTGCCCCTGGCCCAAGGTGCGCTCAGGACTTCCACGGAAGCCCCGACGGGCTCCAGAGCAACCCTCACGAGGCCCAGAGAGCCCTAGGGGCTCCACAGTTGGGCGAAAAGCTGCGAGCACCTTGGGGCCAGGGTCACCTTTGGCAGCCCCGAACACAGGAGGGGGAGGGAACCCTGAGAAACCGACCACCCAGCACGCGCCCGCGTGAATCCTGGGCTCGAAGCCTCGTTGGCATCGCGCCCGGTCGGGGAGCCCCTTCGCCGAACTGGGGGCCGGGGGCACCTCCAGCAGCCCCCGACCGGAACCCCGATCCGTGTTGGCACGTGCCACTGATTTTTGGAGTTTTTTGGTTAGGTCGCGCTTCTCCTCCTCCTCCTCCTCCTCCTCCTCCTCCTCCTCCTGCTTCTCGTTCTCCTCCTCCTCCTCCTCCTCCTCCTCCTCCTCCTCCTCCTCCTCCTCCCCCTCCCCCGGGGGCAGGGGATGGGGAAGGCAGCGGGGGCCACGCCCAGGACCGAGCATGGGAGCGGCGTTGTGCCGCTCTCTCGGCCTCTGCCGAGCCTGGCCGGCGCCCGTCCATGGATATCATCCCTCGGGGCTCAAGAGACGGCCTCCTCGTCGTCCTCCCCCTCGTCGTCGTCGTCGCCGTCCTCCTCCTCCTCCTCCTCCTCCTCGGGCTTGGGCTGTAGTCATCGGCTCCCCCAGGAGGCGCCCAGTCGTCTCAAGAGGCCCGAAGGGGGCTCCAAGACGGTCCAAGAGGCCGCCGGAGTGCCCACACTGGACCTCCATCGGGAGCCTTAAGATGGGGTCAATGCAGACGGGGGTCAGCCAGAGCGCCGGATCTTGCAGGATCCTGCAGGGCCAGGGTCGCATTGACCCAGGTTTGGGTGCAGGATCCTGCAGGATCTTGCAGGATCCTTCGCGTTGAAGACCCGGGCTTGGGCGCAGGATCTTGCAGGACATTGCACGATTCTGCAAGGCCTGACTGACCCAAGTCTGGATTGACGCGGGTCAGAAGATCCTCGACCTGAGACCTTGACGTCGTAATTTTTTCGAGCTGGGCGTTTTCGCCGCGGTTCGGGCCCCGGGACCCTCACAGGTCGATTTGGCTCGAAAAACGTTGCAGGAAGATCGGGTCCAGGGCTCTGGGCGTGGCTTTTTAGGATGTTGCATTCTTTCGCTGCGTCGGATCTCAGGGATCCTCCTCGCGAGTTGGCGACGGCCGACATGGACCATGACCAGTATCGGCATCGAGAGAATCCCGCGACATCTTGGTCATGGCTCCCTGTGTTCCTTCCTTCGATCGAATCGAGGATCGACTGCAGAATTGACTTACCCCAGACTTGGTTCTTCCGTCGGGTTTGCGACGAATGCATGAGACGCTCGGTAGGTCTGCGGAGCACTCGACGTGTGCTCCTTTCATTCGGCGGACACGTGAATTTTGGGGTAAATCAATTCTGCAGTCGATCCCTTACTCGATTCGAGGCAGGGCCCCGCTCGGCGGACAGGCTGCCCCGCGAGACGGCGCCGCAGCCGCCGCGGCTGCAGCGGCACTGGTCGCGCCTGGGCTTCCGGCGGGCGACTCCCGGCCCGCCCCTCCTCTTGCCGCAGATGCCCAGAGGCTGGCCGCCAGCACCGACATCGGCGGCTGCCTCCACGGAGGGGAGGTGGTCCTGATCTCGGTGATGGTGGCGCGTCTCTCGCTGGGTCAGGAGGAGGAGGAGGCGGAGGGAGGGAGGGGGGAGGGAGGGAGGGTGGGAGAAGCAGGATGAGCAGGAGGAGGAGGAGGAGGAGGACGAGGAGGAGACGAGGAGAGGAGGAAAGGAGAAGGAGGAGGAGGAGGAGGAGGAGGAGCAGGAGCAGGAGGAGGAGGAGGAAGAGGAGGAGGAGGAGTTTTATGGCGAAAGCCCGACGGAACAGAGAGGGTCGCGGACACATCCCCCAAAAGGATTAGACGTGCCAGCGCAAGGAATGCCAGGGCGCTAGGCGCCCCCCTTCGACATGGTCGTCCTCAACCCAAAGGCCGTCGAACTTGGCGTCGGGGACGACATCTCCGAAGGGGCGAGGCCTCAGCTGACCCTGGGAGGCGGGCTGCCCGCTCAGAGCCTATCAATGCGAGGGCCGGCCTTCTCTCGCTCTCGGTGATGGTGGTCGTACTCGGGCTTCCCAGGTGGCGGACGGATTACCACCGACACCCAAACCCAGGAACACCATCCCCTGAGGGAGGTAACTTTCAGGAGGGAAAGAAACACACAGACACAATTAATCGTCGACTCCTAGAACAATATGGGAAAATATAGGAAGTGGGGGGGGGAAGACAAAAACCCAGAAAACATGGCAAAATATGGGGAACCCTGTTGTTTGTGTGTATTTATTTGTGTGTCCCAGGGCCCCTTCAATCTTGCTGTGTTTGTGGTGGTGCCCACCTCCCGGCCCCCGATCCTGGGCGCGGAGGCGCGGGGCGGGGGGGGCGGGGAAGGAGACGGGAGCGCGCGCGGGGATCGCTGTGGCGCGTCCCTCGCGGAGTCGTGGGAGGAGGCGCAGGGAAGGATGAAGGGAGGGAGGGAGGGAGGGAGAGGAGGAGGAGGCGGAGGGAAGGATGGAGGGACGAGGAGGAGGAGGAGGAGGAGGAGGAGGAGGAGGAGGAGGGGGAAGGATGGAGGACTACGAGTAGAAGGAGGATATCGAAGAGCAGGAGGGGGAGGAGGATGAGGAGGAGGAGGCGGAGGGAAGGATGGAGGGAGGAGGATAAGGAGCAGGAGGAGAAGGAGAAATTGAGAGATGGAAGAGTGATGGAGGATCAAGTGGAGGAGGATGGGGGAGGAGGAGGAGGAGGGAGGGAGGCAGAGGAGGAGGAGGAGGAGGAGGAGGAGGAGGAGGAGGAGGAGGAGGAGGGAGGGGGAGGAGGAGCGGGAGATGCTGCTGCTGGTGATGATGATGCTGTTGTTGTTGATGTGGTTGTTGATGATGCTGAGGCTGCTGCTGCTGATGATGATGGTGATAAGGATGATGATAAGGGTGATGATGAGGATGAGGATGCTGCTGCTGCTGATGATGATGATAATGAGGGTGATGCTGAGAATGACGCTGATAATGATGATGAGTATGGTGATGACGATGATGAAAACGATGGTGATGGCGATGATGATGATGATGCTGCTGCTGCTGCTGATGATTGCGATGATGATGCTGATGCTGCTATGATGATAATGATGATAATGATGATGATGCTGATGATGATGATGATGATGATGATGATGATGATGACGATGATGATGATGATGATGATGATGATGATGATGATGATGATGATGATGATGATGATGTATGTGGTGGTGGTGGTGGTGATGACGATGCTTATAATGATGATGATGATGCTGATGATTATGATGCTGCTGCTGATGATGTTGATGATGCTGATGACGATAATGATGATGCTGTTACTGCTGATCATGGTGAGGATTCTGATTACGATGATGCTGATGGTGATGGTGATGATGATGATGATGATGATGACGACGCGGATGATGCTGATGCTGATGCTGCTGATCATGATGCTAATGCCGCTGATGATGATGGTGACGATGATGCTGCTGATGATGATGATGCTGATGATGCTGATGATGATGACGACGATGATGCTGCTGCTGCTGATGATGATGCTGCTGATGATGATGATGCTGAAGATGCTGACGATGATGATGATGATGGTGATGAGGAAGGTTATTAGGGTGAGGATGATGATTATGACGATGATGCTGATGATGATGATGGTGATGATGATGATGATGATGACGATGATTATAATCCCGATGATGCCCATGATGATGCTGATGATGATGATGGTGATGGTGATGGTAATGATGGTCATGATCGTGATGGTGAGGTGATGGTGATGGTGATTTTTGTGGTGGTGGTGTTGGCGTGGTGGTGGTGATGGCGGTGGTGATGGTGATGGTGATGGTGATGGTTGTGGTGGTTGTAGTGGTGGTGGTGGTGATGATGTCGATGATGATGATGTTGATGATGATGATGATGACGATGATGATGATGATGATGATGACGATGATGATGATTATGAGGATGTTGATGTTGTTGATGATGATGATGATGAGGATGATGATGCTGTTGCTGCTGTTCCTGCTGCTGATGATGCTGACGATGATGATCATGGTGGTGGTGATAATGGTGATGATGATGCTGATGCTGATGATGATGATGATGATGATAACGATGATGATGATGATGATGATGATGATGATGATGATGATGATGATGATGATGATGATGATGATGATGATGATGATGATGATGATGATGATGATGATGATGATGATGATGATGATGATGATGATGATGATGATGATGATGATGATGATGATGATGATGATGATGATGATGATGATGATGATGATGATGATGATGATGATGCTGCTGCTGCTGCTGCTGCTGCTGCTGCTGATGATGATGATGATGATGATGATGATGATGATGATGATGATGATCCCGCTCTCCCAAGGGGGCCGCTGCCGACGTGCACACTCCCCCTGCTGCTGCTACATTATCGCCAGCTCCCCGCACGCTCCCTCGAGCGCGACCTCTCTCGCGGCGGGAGGGGGGACGGGGCGCCGAGGTCGGCCTCTACCCCCCCTTTGGTGGGGTGGAGGCCTCGCTTCATTCTGCGGAGCCCTTCGGCCTGCCTGCTCGAGAGCGGCCGAGATGGGCACTCGTCGCCGAGTGCCATGACCCGACGGCTGCGGCACTACCCGCCGCACCGCACGCAAAAGGCTAGGTCTCCCGTCCGCCACATCCTGTGGGACGGGTGGAACCTCGCGTTCCACCAGGGGGGCCACGTTTCCCCGAGACCAGGTCCAGGCCCAGGAGGGCCCCGCGACCCACCCGACCTCGCCCCCTGTGGCCCCCCCTGGTGGAGGAGCCCCTTCGCTGGAAGGGTTCTCGATCGAACTAACTTGCGCTGGAGACTGCTGCTCCTGCTGCTGCTGCTGCTGCTCCTCGTCCCCTCCTCCGCTGGCCTCCCCCCCGCTCGCTGCGGCGGCTCCTGCTATGATGCCGAGGAGCGCGGCCGCGCCTGCGCCTGAGCCCTCGGTTCCCGAGGCGGGCGGGGGCGGTGGCGGCGGGGGCTGGTGGGAAAAAGCGGGGAGAGGACGGCCACTCGCCGCGCATCCGAGGCAGCACCAGATGCGTCTTGCCCCGACGAGAGCCGGCGAGCCGTGCCTCTTTCACGCGCGGGCCGAACAGCGGCCGCATGGTGCGATCGAGCGCAGGCGGCAGCCAGGAGCAGCACATCTAATTATCTGGAGGCCAGGCGCAGCGTAGCCGTTGTTTGCCGTGAGCCAGCTGCTGCCCTCCTGCGGCGCCTGGCCGAGCATCCTACCCAGGCTCTCACCCCACTCGTCGGCAATGCTCGCAACCTCGACCAGCGCGGGGAAGGTGGGGTGGATGCTGGCGCCCTGCTTGGCCCTCAAGTCGGCGAGCTTGTTGCCCCGCCGCTTCCACTCCGTGGAAGACCCGACCAGGACGTCATGCATCGTGGCGTGCCCCTTCACCTTTGTGGTCTGAATGGCGTCCCTGCCTATGTCGTGGACCCGCTTCCAGAAGGCGGTCCACAGGCCTCTGTACGGTCTTGACCAGCATAGGCACCAATCCTCGCCTGCCTCCCAGCCGTCTTCGAGCAGCTGCGAGTCGCTGAAGAGGTGCACGGGCGGGAGACAGTGGGCCAGGGCCTCACTGCCGCCAGCAACTCCCCCGAGCCCGACTCCTGGGCGAGCGGCCATTGTACTGGCCCCAGGATCGACGAGATCACGGCGTCCGTGTGGTCCGTCGAGCAAGCTGCCCATCCCGCTCGCGCCAGAACTCGGTCCTGGGCGTGGGCCGCCGCACCGTCCAGGAAGACCTCTCCATGGAGCGGCTCGCCCGCCCACGGCCCCGCTGTGCGCACTATGCGCGCCGTGAGCGGCAGGGGGAGGTCACTGCGCGGGTCCTTGACCAGGCACCGCGACCAGATGGCGTGCTCCGCGTCCGAGTCCAGCGGGCCGCCTGTGTCGTAGAAGTAGCTGATGTTGAGGTCGTCTGCCTTCCATTGCCTGGCCGAGGACCACCGCGAAGCAAGGGCGTGGTCAGCGAGCTGCTTCGCCAGCCGCCTCCTCAGGCCGTTGATGGCCGCGCCGCCCTTCAGGTGGCCCCGCAGCGGGTCGTGGCTCGCCACGTCCCTCCAGAGCTTCCTGATGAAGGCAGCCTGTACTTCGCGTTGGATCGTGTGCCTGTCGGTCTCGCCCAGGTCTAGGATCCTCCCAAGGTCGTCCGTCCAGCGCCTGATGTGGTCAGCTCTCCAGCCGAGGCGCGCCGCGGCAAGGGCCGCTGCGGAGGCTGGGCCCCTTCCCGCCAGGCCCTCTGGCCCGCTGGCGGTGAGGCGCTCGCGCGCCGCCGCAAAGGCCGAGCCGAGGGCGCGCCTGTCCTGCTCCTTGACCTGCTGCAGCGCCCTCGCCCACGCCTCCATGGGCTTGGCGATGTGGTCGAAGAGCGGGTCGTCCCACGGCTTCGCGGCCAGCAGGTAGCTGAGGCAGATGCTCCTGCCAGGCCCCGTGCCGAAGGCGATGGCTGCGAGCTTGGACCTCCATCTCGCCAGCGCCGATGACGACCAGGCTATACAAGAGATG